GGGAAATGGCGAGGCCGCAGAAACGGGCCAAATCCCTGGCCACAACCCAGTGGGCGGATTGCAAAATGCGAGCCTGATTGGCGATCAACGCGGCCTTTTCCGGGGGAACCTCAAAACGGCCATGGGCCGTGTCCACAATCACCCCCAAATGCTTCTTGTGCATAACGGGGGTCCATTGACATTTCCGCTCCTTGAATTGGATGCCCAGTGAGGCAAACATACCCCGAACTTGGACTGAACTTGTTCAAACGAGCGGCATCATGCATGGCCGCCAAAAAATCATCAAGATACGCCAACAGAATGGCTGGCGGTTCACTAGTATACACGCGAAAATATGTAGCTATTGAGTCATCCCCCGCTAAGCAGCCAAAGCGGAAATGGCAAGCCGCCTTAGGGCAACTGCTGGGGGACCTTAAGAAACGCCCCACAACAAGCATGAAGTGGGTGAAAAAGAAAGGGGCCAAAGAGAGGCCAAAAGGGAGAGCTCTACAAGCGAAAATTTTGTCTCCCATTCGAAATTGGAGGAAACATTCCTCCGATTGACACACACGCAGATGATGATAAGCATCTTTGATGTCAAATCCCACCAATGAGTCACCCCGGCGAAGTAAGTGACCGAAGTCACGTAATTTCTCGTAACGAAGGCCCACCTTGCGAAGGTGACTGTTGACCCGTCGCAGATCGATACAAAGTTGGTACTTCATGACGCCATCCTCCCGCCCTTTCTCCACGAGGAAGGCCCAAGAGATGCGCGACGTGGGGCCCGGCTCCACCTTGGTGATCGCGCCCGAAGAGAGATAGTCCGCGCGGAGAGATTGCCAGGCCGTCCGTTCCTCCGGGGAGCGAAGCAGGTAGGCGCCCTCGTCGAAAGGCGCCGGCGGTCCACGCGGGCCCCACATGAGCGGAGTCCCTGAATGGATCCATTGGAGGATGCGGGAGGGGGCGCCGATGCGACGCCACGCCGAAAGGCGTCCGCGGACTCGATTGTACGGGAAGTCCTTCACTGGGCCGGCTTGGGGGAGGGGCCCGGAGGGCGAGATCCCTTGTGGGCCTTGGGGCCGGTCGAGGGGGCCGAGGTCGACGGGGGGGAGGTAGACTTCTTGGCGGCCGCGGTCTTGGTGGCGTGCTTCAGTTCTTGCATCAGAAGCTCCTTGCGCATGCGCTCGATAGTCCCGTCGACACGAGCGGTGCCAAATCGCAGGCCGCGGTCGGCGAGGCGGATCTCCGCCTGAATGGCCCGCCACGATCCCTCCAGGCCCGATCCCTTGTGTTTGGCGTGTATGCGCTGCAAGGAGAGCTGGTCGTGGAGAGCCTCGGTGACCTCCACGTACGAGTAAAGGTAAGGAAGGAGAAATTCCCGTACGGACGCCGGGAGATCGGGATGGGCGGCGACCTCCACGAAGGCCGCGGTCGTGTCGAACAGCCAGGAGACCGGAGGCGCCCAGCCCGCGTACTCCTGGAAGTACCCGGAGTTGGCGCCCAAAGAGGTGGCGACCGCGCTCCCTTCGGCGGTGTCGCGGACGTCGAACCAGTACGGCGAACGGGCTCCCACCGGTCGGGCAACCGGGTTGTTGACGGACTGGGGGAGGAGCGCCGGGTCGGGCAACCAGCAGGCTTCGATAGCGGAGGTCGGAATATGGTTGTTGAACCGGCGAGCTTGTTCCCGGCACCACTGCTCCGCAGGGGACGGGTCCATAGGCAAGAACTCGGCAAAGAGCTGGAGGTCGAGACCCACTCGGTGGGTCCGGGTTGTGCCAAAGGGTTGGCGTGAAGCGAAACAAGATAAGGTGGGGACCGAGGGGTGAGCCTAAGTAGCCTCCCCGCTCGTGCCCGCCAAAGCCCGCCGCTCCCAAGGGCGCCAAAAACCACTGGCCCTCCTTGAACGCGACAAACTAGCCACTGACCCAAGGTACAAGGGGACAGAAACCCCAAGGGGCCGCCAAAACCATCGTACTTTAAGCGGCGCTGGCCCAAGTGGGCCAGCGCGCCCGCCCCTCGTCGCCCTGGGCGGAAACCCCTTAACAAGATAGTTAATCCCATTTCCGAGGGCCCCACCAACAATCTATCATGCCCGTCTTCCGAAGCAGCGTGAACGGGGCTCAAAACACTCTTTGTGGCATGCGCCCTGGACAGCCATTTCCACCGATCTTTGGGAACTGCGCAGCGAGGCACCAAACATTATTCTTCCAAACTTCTCATTGTGCAGCCACTTCGCTCATAGCGGCGAAATCTTCTGAAGACGCCGTTGTTCTGAAGTTTGCCGATTGCCGTTTTTCTGATCCTGAACGGAAAAGCTTGTTGGGCCGTGAAAAGCACGCTTGTGGTCGATGATCGAGCGGCAGCGAACTCGGTTCTGTGGCCTCCTCGCTTCAGGAGAAATGGCTCCGATCGGCAGTGAATACGAAACCCACAATTAGCCACCCTTGGATTCGCAGCGTTATTCGCTAGGCGACCTGGTCAGGGTCCCGTTTCTGGGACTGTTTGGCGAGACCTTGAGAAGTTTCGAGCTCCTGGCAGGACTCACAGTGGTTCGAAGTACTGCACTGTGGCTCGGAAGTATCCACTCTCCACAGTCATTGAAAGCACTTAGAAAACTCGTAAGTAGTGCTCTGTTCCAATTTGGGAGGAAACGAACGGGCGTATGATACAAATGCAGCTTCTCAAATCTGAGAGGAGACTTTTAAACGAAGTGTTTCATTCAATTCCGGACAGAGCAATTCCTCGCCATCCCCGGTGCGCGGAAGAGAGCAATACTGAGCACATTAGTGATGACCAATAATCATATGCGCTCAGTAAATTAAACAGAATGAGGAAGCTCAAATATAGCTGAAAAATATATTCCTGTCCAAGCCGGATGACATGGCGTGCAGGGTGTTGCTTGAAGCGTTCAATTGTTGCAGGCGCCAAAGCAATCGATTTGAATATTATTCAGGAAACTCTTTGATATCGTCACCATCTGCTCACCCTCAGAATCCCGTCATACAGTCTGACTGATCCCCGTCGCTACAGTGGTACTAAACTCAGACCAGTCGCCACAGACATCTTGCGCGATCCGTACGTTTCAACGTTCTAGATGCCGCGGAAATAGTCATCAATTCGCGCTTTGCCACACCATTTGCATGTGGCCCAAATTTCACAAATTTTGGACCTCAACAAAACCCTAGCGGTAATATCTGTCATATCGATATAGCATGGCATCATAAGCCATCAAATTCTTTCATGGTTTTTGCCATTGAAGCACAATACTGACAGGAATCAGACCTGGCGGCAGCATCATGATGCCGCAGCGTTGCATGCATGTCACATGACATCCCTCTCCTTCTTCCAACAACCAACCCATGGCAGGTGCCCTGAGTTTTGCTCGCCTGCCAAAATATCCCGAGACCTCAAGTAGACAGCTGTCGAAATCTGCCAAAATTGCGGCAGCGCATCCCTGACAATTTGCCGTCGAACATACATTACACTGGGAATATTTTTCATTTTTTTGCATTCTTCTTCAGAAACTTTGAAGGAGAATCTTCTATGCAATCGGTGCATGCTGTTTTCCTTGTTCTGATATCCTTAGGACCGATGCCATTCACGTCATATGAACTTCACAGGTATTCACAGGCGGCAATGTTCGTAGTGGTTATCAGAGTGCTAAGAGCTATCGTTTCTGATACTCTTGTGACATAGTCGGGCCATCCCTGCAGTGAAATTGTAGTGAATAGTCTCTGCAATCGTCGACTGCCTCATGTGCATATGTTGCCGGCAAATATTCTGTTTATTATGCGGTAAATTGGCCCGATCACGGCTGGGGAACACTTGCTCAGTACTCTGTTATTGCGTACACAAGACCAAAATGTGAGTGCTCGCATGTGTCATTGCTGAACAAGATTGCCGCAGTAGCAAATTGGACACAATGGCACCATGCGCGAATAATTGTGGGGGATGAGACAACCAGATCAAATAAATCAGCACAGAAATCATTCAATTAATAAGGGGAGACATTATTTCGATTTTGTACGTCTAGTGTCAAATTAACGTAAACGGAGGGAGGGAGTTTCGGGCCATTGACGCTAAGAGATTATGTAATTGCGCCAAATCAAAATAAGATTGGAAGATGCACCAAAGCGCTGCTGATCAGCACCACATAACTCACGACTTGTTGCAAAACCTCCCTCAAACTTTCGATCATCGAGGAAGTCATTAGAATGGATTAATTTTTAGGCTTTTGGGCTGCTCCTAGCGATTGTCATGACTTTTGGCATCCCAATTTTTTCCGAATCACCGCAATCACTACACTTTTGGCTATTTCTTTCCCTCAAACTGTTTTTAAGTTGTGTGGCATTGTTTGTTAATGTTGATGAGTCATCCTGACATCACAATAAGGGATTAGCTGCATAACGCCAATTTGATGCTATGTGTACAGTATTAAAATAATGTCTTACCTAAGCTCACCAATTAACCAATCACTTAAGTTGGTAGAAGTAGTTAACCCTGGGGGTGATTTGTACATCCATCGCGGTTCGCTGTTATACCCTGCGATGATGGATTTGACAAAGTCACCGCCTGAAGTTGTCATGTTCCACATTCCTATTGGGATATCAACATCAATTCTGAACCATTGAAGGTCTGATCGCTATTCAGTCTGCACGAAAAGCAACAATATTCGAATGGTCAAGTTGCTTGTGTTGCACAGTGCTGACTTCTGCATATGCTGACTTCTGCATATTCCATACTAAGCAAGCAAACCCAACAATATCGAAAGCAGCACTGGCGTTGGCCACATTACGGCCCCTCCCATTCCAAACATATACTTTGGATAACAGTTGAGCATTAGGTGCACCACAGTGTCATCAATTTTCTGCTGCCGCAGTGCACCCACACTGCCGCACCAGCCAAGCCTCCTATTGCATGCGTGCCCCTGTTGCAGGCTTAGATAGTAATGTGAACTGGGGGCGACACCACACATCTGACTGGTCTTTGCACAAGTCGCTCCCAATCAACTTACAAGGTAGGAAAAAGGGAGTCAAATGGACAAGGGTTTGTGTCAAGCTGTTTTGGGCAAACCTGACAATGGGCGGCCAAAAGAACATCTTGTAAGGAATAGGGCGAAAGCCATTCTGAGCAAGCTGCTCTCGGGCGTTGGTGCCCACTGCGCCTCACGACTCTGCAGGGTTGCAATGGCTCCCAGGCACCAGAGAGGCCCGCAGCTTCCTTTTCGACTTGAAAGAGAAATCGAGGACAGGGCTGCCGCCAGTTCAGCACCCGAGAGGCTGGGAAGAACTCACGTCCAGCGCAGGAAGTTCGCGAGGAAGGCCGCCAGGAGGGACAAGAAGCGGATCAGAGGGGGTTGGCTACCTCAGACTGTTCCGCCTGTTGAACAAAACTCCAAACGCGAGGTGGGAGCTGGCGGCACTGGCTGCCTCTCGCGTAATGCCCCCACCTGAAACACGCGATGCGCCTCTCTGGCTTTGTGCTCCGCTTGCTTGGAGGTCGGGAGCTTGTCAAGTGGTCGTACACTGTCATCTAGTCAGATGTTTGCATTGGAAGCGCAGCATGCGCATGAAGCGCGCAGTTGAAGAAGTATCGGGCCCATGTTGATGGACAGGCTCACAGCAGGGGATGCAATTGGGCGGCCATCATGCAGGGACACCCAGTTTGATGGACAGGCTCACAGCAGGGGATGCAATTGGGCGGCCATCATTCAGGGACACCTTTCCCAGGAACTCAAAGAGCTTCCACTTCAGGCTGTTTAGATACTGAGAAGCAAGTCGATTCCGAACTCTCAAATTCGCCCTCACGGTTGCTGTGGCCGCACTTGTTGCTTGTTCCACGTGTATGCCACTCAAAGTATATGCCAGGCATGGTCGTTAGGCAAAGAAGCTTTGGTCAACTCCCTCTAATCCCATGCAAATCTTGGAGGCCTGCAGTTCTGTGGCATCGACAGTGAACTGTGTGGAAACATCCATAGCTAGTTGCCCTGATCTACAAATACCTTGCAACGATGCTTCCAGTGGGCGTTTCAGGTTGTCCTATTCCTTGGACTAGCAGAATGGTGGCATCTTTACTCTGCCATTTGGGTAATTGCACAGCTGCTCTTGTGTTCACTGAATGCAGGATATTGTTGATAGGATGTTGCCAGCTGTCTGGTAACATCTTACCAGTGGTTGGAATCTTGTTGCAATTTCCTTGACTGGGTGCACGTCATGGCTTTTCTATCCATCTGGTCCAATGCATTCTTAGCATGTGCATGTTACGTGAGTGCAAAAGTTGGTACCCAATAGCACCAGTGAATGAACTGGCTGTATGGTGTCTTGCCCTTTTGGTGGCTTACATCTCTTGTTGCAGAATAATAGTCCATGCAGCCGACATTCTTATTGCTGCATCAGACACAGATAATGTCTACACAATGCAGAGATGTTTACCAGTTTCCCAGATGCCAATCTCTGATGTCTCATGGTACTGGCAAGTAGCATGATGTCCTGTGAGCTTCCTGCCCCTGATGCAGGGCAACATCAATCCCCAACGCAGAATGCAGTCAGTGCATTGTGAGCAGATCATGGGTGGACGGTGTGCTGATTCCCCATTGCTTTTTCTGGAAACTTTGTGCTGCTTTGTGCTGGCCCCAGTGGATACTTCTCCAAGATACAGAGGTGGTTTTTTGTTCTGCAGTTCCATCTGCCCACATTATTGGATTTTTCTTGGTCGTTGATTTGTGTTTTTTGCATCTCCAAAGGCCTCCAAGAAGAGAATAGGCACAACAGCCAAGCCCAAGGCTGCGCTGAAACAGTCCTCCAAGAAGAATAAGGGCAGGGTTGCCAAGCTCAATGCCACAGTGAAACAGAAGAGCAAATTTCTTGAGCTAACCACCAGCACCAAGAAGAAGCTTCTGGATGACATTGAGGCAGAAAACCAATACCAAAAGAAGCTTGCCAAGAGACTTGGCGCAGATGCAAAAGTAGGTATTTGCATCTCAGTTTTTAGTTGATGTTAGTGTCCACCCTGTCCATTGGCAGCGATGGAAGGGGGAGAGCAATATTCAGTGTTGCGTATTGTGCAGACATAAGATCAATTGGCAACGATTCTGAGCGCTGCAACAACTGTGGCGGCCTGCAGCTGCTGTGCATCGCACAATAAGATAACCCACTGTCAAATTCAGAGCCAAAGGCCTTGTTGCATACCATATCTGAATTGGTGCTATTGCAAATCAGTTCATGTTGGAGTGGGCCAATGACAGGCTGTTGTCCAAGTGTTTAGCCCATGCCCATTGAAGCTGCTGTTTTGCATGGGTTGTGTGAGAGCTGCAATTGTACGTATAGTGCAGGAATGTGCTGAGCAGCATGGCATCACACTGCTGTGTTCTGGACCACAAGCGGCGCAAGTGGCACAAGTGGTGTGGTGCACTCAGCTGACAACAACACTGGTTGTTGCAATGCGATATAGGAGAGGGTTGATTCTCGTCTGTTATCCATGATAACAGAACGAAGATAAAGCTATCCATGAAGCCCTTAAACATAGCAAACAACCAAGAGGAGTGTAAACGAAATGTTGCCTTTTGTTGGGACACGGAATAGGGCGAGGCCAGCTCCTTGCCCTTCAAAGGAGATGAATCGAGTTGGAGCTATTCCTAGGAGAGAGGGAAGACTCAGTGGTTTGGTATGCACTGAAGATGTGGCTAGAATTCAAACAGAATCCGCTGGGTAGATGACGAGGGTTGGTTGCAGAATTGGGGGGTTGACAAGGAGTATGTGATTGTTGTGACTAAAGGGCAGGAGACACCTTGATTAATGCAAGAGCATCGGCATGGCACATGCACTAAGGTTTGAAAGGCCATGCTTGCTGAAGCTAATCACAAAGATGGTGTAGGTTGATGACAATGTGCCAGTCGTTAAAATTGAAACTTTTGTAGGCACGATTCACAGTGGACGTGATGGCTTACAGAGAGTATGATAGAAATGACTCTAAAACTCTTGAAAGGTGTAGCAGTGCCTAATTGTTGTCTGCAGCAATGTTTTTGAAGAATTGTTGGAATGTGTTGGAACTTACAGGAATAAGGTGAGCACAAAAATGTAGGGAAGTGAGGTCCCGACAGGAAGTGGATAGGGATGTTTTTGATGTGTCTGTGACTGTCTGGCTCTGTGGTTTCTATTGGATGTCTATTTAATCCAGTTCCACAACAGCGCAAAATATACCAAAGAATCCGAATTTGTGACAGATTGACTATCATTGTGTTGATCTTGCAAAGTAAAAGCAAGATTGGATAGTGGACAAGATTTTGTGGTGAAAGTACTACATGCTGAAGCTATTCATGACGTTTATTGTCTGGGAACGTCATGTACAATGTGCCAATTTCGACACTGGTGTGTTTGGGCTGTTTGCAGAAACTGCAGAGCACTCCTCTCCTGGAGAATAGCGATGATGAGCTTCAGGACGACAACCCAACGGAGCAGAGTGTGAGTGAAGATGATTGGCACATGTCTCTGGAAAACGAGCAAGAAGAAGAAGATGAAGAATTGGAAACCTTGTCTTCTGATGGCAACATGCGTAGTGGACAGCAGTATTGCTCCCCCAGTACCAGTTCTTTGGAGAACAACAGGAGGACCTTCGACAGCAAGTCAAAGATGGGAACATGTGCAGTATCTCAAGGTGACCTGATGCAATGAATGGGGAAGGAGATGTGTCAGGATCTTATGTGCTGCTCCCTTTGCGAGTCTGGACAGGGTCTATAGTTGTCCAGCAGTTCTAGCCGGCTTGGTGGACAGTATGCTTGTGCCATGTGCTTAATGATTCATGTTCGTCTTCAGGTCGTTCACAATACGTGCCCCCAGCCTTGAGACAAGAGGAAGGTGGTGCTACAGCAGCTGTTGTTCGCCGATTGCGTGGCCTCCTTAACAAATTGGTGGAGTCGAACATTCAGAACGTGGTTCGAGAGGTTGGCATCTTGCACCAGGAAGCAGGGCGCTCACTTGTTGCAGAAACTGTGGTAGCAGAAATCCTACAGGTGATGCTACTGTGTTTGCTTTGAGTCCGTCTTGATCCGCATGCTTTGACATTCCTCTTGAGCCCACCTCAAGGCCATGATGTTCACATTGGGCTGACCAGAAAAGGCCCCAAATGGTGTCTCCATGATCGCCATTCTATGCTGAAGAGGAATAGCAATGCATGTGTTTGTGGTGCTGGTTTTCCTGATGCGCAACTGTCCCATCTGTGCTGCGCAGGCAGTGAAAAAAGGTCCCAGAGCATCAAAGCAGTTTGCATCTGTTGCAGCCGCCTTTGTCACTGGCCTCACTGCCACAGCAAATGCCCAGGAGATTGCTGCGCAGTTTCTGGCAGCTATTGCCTCTGCTCTGGAGGAGTCATATGAAATGAGGGACAGTCTGGCATGCACCAACTTGGTTTCTATACTGTGTAATTGCTATCTATGTGGCATGATGGATGGTGGGTTGCTGTACAGCCTTCTGGACACACTGACAGGGAGATTTGATGAGCGTGACGTTTCGCTGATGTACACAATATTGAAGGTGTGTGGGTGGAGACTGCGTTCAGATGACCCCAAGGCAATGAAAGACTATGTCCTGGGGGTGCATGCAAGGGCTGCCCAAGTCAGCCAAGAAGGTGTGCACCACTGATGCTGCTCTGAGGCAAAAGTTGCTTTAATGACAGTTTTGCATGAGAAGACAACCTCCTGTCACCTGGATAGCCAGCATGGTTAATTTTATGCATTCATCTTGTTCACTCACAAAATCTGACTGCAGGGCCAACACAGCTTGTTCACATTTAGAAGTGATGGCTAGCATAAAAAGAACAAGAAGGAAAGGAAGTCGCAAAAGGGAGTGAAAGATGCAGGAGTATAGCTCTGTATGTGGTATGCCTGCCTTCACTGAGCACTGCATTGTGGTTTCAACCACATGGCTCTTGAACCTGGACAGGGAGCTTGTGTGGGCGGCATACACCTTGGTGGTGTTCACCACTGTATTGCACATTCACTTAATTCTCACTGTTCTGTGTGTGTAGCAAGCAATATTCCTTCCCCTCCTGAGTATCCTCACCTGTGCAAAATTGCGGTCCATCACACAACTTAGGTATCTTGGCATTGGTCGCAGTGATTGTGCCATCGCTTATTGTTCACACAGAAATCCCCACCTTTTGTTTCACCACACTTGGAAGATGCTCAGCACGACATAATTGGTGTGCCTTTGCTGCTCCTGGATGATAATCAGCGGTCAATGCCTGCCATTGTGCAACAATGTTCTTCAAGCTTTGCTGCTGACCTTACATGCCAGATTATGTGTTTAGGTATTGTTCAACAAATAACTGGTAACTGCACATGTTATTGCCCCCTTGCATGCGAGACTTTTGGTGCATTGTCACTGAGCACATGGGGCCCTATGTTCTTGGGAGCAGTTCTGTTCTGACTTGAGTTGGGATGGAGCCTTGACATCCAGTGGCTAAGGGTGGTGTTTGCACTGGCTTGGTATATCACAACTATTGGACCTTACATCCTGACGTTTGGCGCATGCATTCCACAATGGATTGTGGCGTTGATAGTGTTGACGCGAGCAAGCCATGGCAGTTCATTTTTGTGCACATGTTGCCCATACCTTGCCTGTATTGTTGAACGTGGCTCTCCTTACATGGTTGCCACTTCTTCTTTGGTTACTAGGGCAGCTGACAAAGCGAGCAGAGCTCATGTTGGACATGGTTGTTGACATAAAAAACAACAGAAGAAAAGGCTCAGGACAGGGAACAGCTGGTGTGTCTCCAGAAGTCATGAGATGGTTAACCCAGAGTGGTGTGGAAGGGATTCATCTGGGCACTTTGTCATGGGACAAGCTGTTGGATCCAGATAAGAAAGGTGCAGACTGCCCGATGTTGATTGTGTTTTAACCGTCGGTTGGCGCTCGTTGTTTTGCCTTTCTGTTCCCCTGTCTTGGTGTACTTTGTGCACTTCGTGGTGCAGTATTTTGACAATGGCGGTTTCTCAGTCGAGTTGGTTGGCTGATGTCTTTTGTATTTGTCAACCATACAGGGCTCTGGTGGGCCTCACAGCTAGAGCATGTCCATGTTCGCCTTCCTGCTGTCGCCAGCTTGAAGACGGGCAGCAGCGCATCAGGAGAGGGCATGGAACTTGTGCAGCTTGCAGCGTCGCAGAGAATGAACACAGATGTCAGAAGGGCAGTTTTCTGCATTGTTATGGGGAGCCAGGACTACATTGAGGCCTGCGACAGCCTGACAAGGCTTGTGCTCAAGGTAGCTGTTGTTGAAACTGATGCGTTGCGTGTGGCCCAATGAGAATGCGGCACTTTGAGCTCCAAACTCTCACCATCACCCAGGTGCCATGTTATTGATCATGCGCAACGTTGCGGAGATGCAACGGTGGACATCTGGGTTCCAGGTATGCCATGGGGTGTGATAAACAGTTGTTTTGTGGCGGTGCCCACCGGAGCCTGACTCTGCTGCTGTTTCTCTCCAGGGTGAGCGCGAGCGCGAGATCATTCGGGTTCTGGTCGACTGCTGCCTTCAGGAGCGCTGGTGGAACTTGTACTATGCGCACTTGGCGCTGAGACTGTGCTTGAACAGCGGCAGCCATCGCAAGACGCTCCAATTTCTTGTGAAGGACAAGCTTTTGGCATTGGCCGACATGCCAAGCCGTCATCTGCATCACTTGGCGTGTTTGCTGGCGGCGCTGATTGTTGGTCGTGGGATCCCGTTGTCTATTGTTAAGGTAAGCCCGTGTCTCTTGCTTGGATGTATTGAACGCCCATTGATTATCGAGTTCAATACGAGCTTGGGAAATCAGTCCACCAGGCTTGTTCAACATCGACTCAGTGGGCGCTGCAATATGTGACACACCGAACATGCAATGAACTTATCGGATTTTCTATCACATCTGTTTTTCACATACAATTCGTTGCTCACCAGTATGCGTGCTATTCTCGATAGTTGATGTGCAGTGCGGAATTGGCAACACACAGCTGCAGGTGCGCATTTCCGTTTTTCTGGAACATCAAATGTCGGGTGGGATGCCAATCAATTTGGGGTAGACAAGAGCCACTGCATGCACCGACGACTTGATCCACCCATGCTGTTGTTGTCGTCCACCCTTTATTGCAGGAGGGCATTGTGAAACGAGCCCTACAGGAGACCACTGCACCTTACGGTGCTGCACAGGAGTTGATCTCGCAAATCGCGCAGATCCATACTGTTATCCCATAACGTGTTGGCTGGTGGACAGTGATGGAATGCAAGCCATTCGGTCCTCTGAGGCACAGAATTATTTCCACATTCGTGCCTTAATGCTTGTTGAGAAATCAGATGAGCAGGTTTAGTACTTTGCACGGCGAACGCGTGTTCACACAATATGCATGGGGACCCAAAGCTACCTCCAGCGCAGTTTCAGTTATGTGAAGATGATAGTGGAGGGACTGTGCACCAAAGCTACCCAGTGAACGATGGTCTGGGCCATGGAAGAGCATGGCAGTGACGCTGTGTCACTGGCTGCAGCACCACTGGCAGAAACCTGGATACCAGGCGATCCAATCTGTAGAATGCCCTGATAAATCTCTAACTGTTACTTGAATGGAATTGTTGATGGTGAGATCTGACAGCGTTCCCCACAGTATGGCACATGGTGCATGGAGAGGTGCCTTGCTTCGGTCGAAATTGCTTCATGTCATGAAAATGCGACGTGTGTCTCAGGGCCATCTCGCTTTGTGAACTTTTTGTATGCGTGCCTTGTATTGCAGGGGGTTGATTTTTGCTCATTATCGTCCGAGAACGAGTCGACGTTTTGGCGTACCTTCTTCGTCCAGCTCTTTCTTGGTTTCAAGAATGAAGAAGACATGCGTTCGACTTTTCAGCACTTGTCCTCGCATCACCATTTGAAGTCTTTAGAATCTGGTCTTCTGGTATTTTTCCGTCGGAGCCTTGGTCCTAAACTGTCGAGCAAAGATGCGTTAGGCTCGCAACTGTGCCCCAACAAGGATGCTTTGGAAACCGTGTTGTTACGCATGAGAACAGTGGAGTCCCTGTTTGCGTCTAGAGCCGTTTGAAAACATCAGACGCCGCCTGCCGCTCGAAAGCAGCACAAATCGCGTCATACTTCAGTGTGTTGTAACCATGCAGAGTTCAAACGCCAGCAGGTTCGTGGTGTTCGCATGCATGCCGCTGTCATTCCTGTGACATGGACATCGCCGAACCCATTCTGCCCATTTTCAGCCTGGCCTATGTGGCTCCTGCACGTGTTCTTTCCAACTGCTTGAACCTGGCCGTTCGAGTGCGACGCCGACCGGGGAACTGCTCATCCAACATGAAGGGTTGGGTGGGGGGGTTGGGTGGGGGGGGGCACTGACCTCCATTGTTCACCAGAACGTGTACTGACGTTCACACCCACAAGAACAATACAAAACCCATGATTCCCACAATGTGCAATGATGGCGTCTCGATTAGATGTGCCCAAGACCTATTTCCTTTTGCGCGCAGTGAGATTTGCGTCCAAGTTTGTTCGAATCCATCAGCAGAACTGCCAGTCCAGCAGCCAAACTGAACCGGAAGCAGGGCGCTTTATCCAGCATTGAAAGCTGCAATCCGAAACACCGGAAATTGTCCTAATTCGGAAAATGAATGCAACAAGAATATTGCAATTGGCCCCAAGTAGGGCATATGAATTCGGCCTGGGAACCACTTCCAAATAAATCCACTGAGGTTTTGCCTCTCGGTTGCCGCTCAACTACGTTGCACTCTGCCGTTTAGGCGTGACAACTTATGGAAACAGCGTACACTGCTCATTGATGCCAACGCTCCATTGCAAGTTTCTGTCGTTCAAGCACGCCAAATATGCAACCACAACAACGCCGCCAAGGGCTTGTAGGCAGCGTAGCTTTCCATTATGCTGCTGGTCTGGAAAAGCTCAAAAGCAGGTTATGTGCAAGCAAGCCTCCCATGCATCTCGGCCTCACGTATTTGTTCGCTCGAGTCCATTTCACTCTTAAAATTTCATTCCCATGGCAACACTATTCCCCACTACTTTCGCTTTTGCCTTTCACAACCCACCCGCCCGCCTGCTTGCATCCGCGGGACACTCATACACCCGCTCATCATCATCATCATCATCATCATACAGCAATTCAATCACACGCCACCTCATCATTCAAGTGCGACCAACATACAAAACAACCAAAACATCTTTTCATTCACAGGCCAAAGAACATGGACCCACTGCCAACACCTGCAATACGTCATGGAAACAACAAACACAGTAATGAGGCAATGGGACTGTGCCATTGGGACAAGCACAGTGTTTTGACTCCAACCCATTTTCCAAACACTACGCGTTCTAATTACACAGATCATCCATGACCTGATCATTTCCAGACGTCCACGCCGCACATATGCGAGTGCAGGAAATCCTTGCAAGCCCAAGCAAGCAGCACAAAACCACAACTTACCAGCAAGATTCCTTGTGGACAAGGCACTCTCACCAAAGCATTTCACTTTGAATTGCAAAATGCTCTTCCACTTCCAAAATTAACATCTCTTAAGGTTTGAACAAACTCTAAAAAGTTGATGCTGTCTCAGACACAAGTGTTGTTGAAGAGAACCCATAAACCAAACTCTGCCAAACGATAACAACTTTGCTATCGACTGTAGTCTTGTCGACGAAATAGCTTTGGACAATTTTCACCATACCGTCTTATTCATTCTTTCATCCTGAAACTTTGGAATGCTGCCCAACCACAGGCATAAGACTTAACTGATCCTCACAGAGAAATGGTGGCCACAATACGGCGTCGCCAACAGTGCATTGCATTTTCCATCGTACCAAATGCGGCGCCATATCCAGGCTTCATGGTACAATACGCCAGCATATCGTGTGTGGCAAACGCAAGACATCATAGGAGCTTAGTGCATGTAAATATCACGCTGCATACCTTGTGCTTGTCCAAGCAATGAACTGTTTAACAAAAATTCGATAAGTGGGACCCAATTTTGACGAAATGCCCGGCAAATTCTGGATGAACAAATCTGATGCTGACAAGTTCTAGTGACGTTCAGATGGCACAAAAAAACACAACTCTGGTTG